CCCATGGGCAAGTGAGGGACAATGCAGTGTCTGTCCAGGAACAGAAAACATCTGTTTCCTTCTGTTTGTCCTCACTCCACAAGGATATTGTGCTGCACAAGTGAAAACAGGTCAATGTAAAAGGCAGCGGTAAAATCTGAAACAACCATCTTCCAATATGTCAACAAGAGGTTTTTGCCATCGATTTCAGTGCAGCCGGGATCTTCTCCAAAGGGAAAAGATGCTCGAGTTTTGGGTCAGATTGTGCAGTGAGAATGCAAATGACTGTAACTTGCATTATGGCTCTAATAAGCTCCTGTAATGACATTAAAGACAAATGCTTGATAATGCTGCCTTCAGAAATGAGGTGATGCAAATTTAGGAAGAAACCCAGCCCACCCTCCCCCTCCCTGCCACATTACCAGTGTTTGTTGAGTCTGATTTTACTCAAGGGTGGCCAGAGGTTTTCATGAGTTACTCTCATGGGTCTGCCTTGCTATTTAACACGACAGAATTGCAAATCATATCGATAAAAAATCTGCTAAGCTATTTTGAACTGCTTATGGAATGGGACCCTGCTGTGCTGCTTGAGAACAGCCATTTTGCCCAGCTCCTCCCTTCTCAGGATCCAGTTATGGATTTGGCCTAATATTACATCCCCCAGGCCACTAGCCACGTTATTTTAATTTAATTTAAACAAGGCTACAAATAGGTCAGAAGAAACTAAGGGAATTAGCTGTTCAAATGAAAACGAAAATCAATTGGGAGCCATATTCTCACAGTCTTTGGAAGCTCTCTCCTAGTCCTTCCACATAGGCCCTCTAGTCTTTGAATCCATTTTCTGAATGTCTCTGAATCTTCTTAGAAGTGATGTCATCTTTCGGATGATGTAATCTGTGCCCAGTAACAGACCTGGGAAGATGCATTCTTTCCATTCTAAAACTTCTATGTGATATGGAAACCAAGGGAAGAAAAGGACAGCACTCAGGAAAGTTTTCAAGTTTTCATTCAAGTTTGAAAATCACCAAATTGTCCTTTTTTTCAGATTTCAGCTTCAAAAACTGTAAACTTTTTTTTTCCTGACAAAAATCTGAAAAGATCCTCTCACGATAATTTTATCATTGTGATATATATCAAAACCAGTTAGTTCCTTTTCTTCCCATCGCTCACATAGATTCTAAAATCAAAATACTTTTGTTCTCTTAGCCTATGTGCTACTTGGAAACCAATTTACAGGAGTAGGGTTTTACTGTTGTCCCAATAAATGATGCTTGTTCCAAAGTCAAATAGTTTGATCTTAAATATAGGTTACTGCATCCTGGCACCAAACACGGGGGTAGATGTGGTGCATAAAATAGGGAAAGCTCAGCAAAATGCACTTAGGAAAAAAAAAATCAATCATTTTTGCTTCGGAAAACCTAAAGAGTTGGTTTTGTCTAACACTCACAATCTGAACTGCATTGGTTCCTTTTGATTGAGTATATGGGTTACATGGTATTATTCTGCTTTTATTCTTTCTGCTGGGCGACCTTGGGATAAGGTCTGTAGGACGTTTGAATGTTCAGAGTCTGCTTTCTCTGAACAGTTTCTCAGAGAAAACAGTGTGAAGACCCAACTCCCTGACTCTGTGAGTGACAATGTGCCTCCACGCTCACATGGTCGAGAACCACTGACCAACCCGGATACCCTGAAGAGCTGCTGGAGTGGTTCAAAGGCTGAGATGACGAGAGCTTCCCTGGGTATGACCACAGCATGACTGGAGTACCCGTGTTCGATCTAACCCTGGCAGTCAGCTCCAGGCACAGACCATGCCAGCCTTCTGGGATCTCCACTCGTGGACTTGGTAACTACCAGACGCTGAAGTTTCTGATGTGATATTCAGGCAAGCTAGGCTCGAGCCAGTGCGAGTATGCCTTCCTACATTGCAATCAAGCTTCCTACTGCAGGGTAGATATGGCAGACACTTCAAAAAGACTCTATTTATATTCTGCCCTACTGGTAAATTCATTCGTTGGACCACTCATGCAAAATGGATAATGCAAATGAAACTGCTACATTTGGAATTAAGCTTATTTTCATACTCCAGTGAGCATGAGTGCATTAGATTGTTTTTGGTTTTTTTTGCTTTTTGCTTTTTACTTGCGGGTGTTTGCCCAGCTGTAGTCCCCAAAGCACCTGTTTCAGATCTGGGAGGGGATGTCAGAGCAGTCCACTGCTGAGCCAGAATGGTGCAGGCACTTCAAACCACTGGCTCTGGAGCCCACAGACTCCTGCCTAGCATTGATCTGGAACTGATGAGTGGCTGG